CAAATATCCCAGCTGCTGCACCTAGTGCATACATGCATACACATATAAAATTTATAAATATTTATATGTAATTTGTATATATTTATAAAGTATATAAAATTTTCTTAAGACACTATTATTATTGCCATAGTCATTGTGATTTAAATTTACCACTCTGCTCTTAATTCCTATTGAAGAGGGCTTTATGAGAGAATGTCTAACAAAACATCTATCAAATCAATACAACAAATCCCATGTACACATCTTCAGACTTCAAGAATTTTTACAAAATTTCCAACCTGGTTTCAACTATGCCACAAGTAACTTTGAAATCTCCCCAAGGAGTGTATTTTATTCTTACGAATTTCACAACTTTTTAAATGTAATAAATGACCAGGGTCATATGAAGCAGCATTTATTTAGTAAAAACATCCACTTCAACTCTATCTTTCCCCTACTTTATAGTTATTAAATTTTTTAATACTTTATTTTTTATTTCAGAGAAAAAGAGTTCCCATCTGCTAGTTCACTCCGCAAATGCCCATAACAGCTCCTAGGTAGGGTTGAAAGCATGAGCTGAGAGCTCAATCTAGGTCTCCCATCTGAGTGCCAGGAATCCAATCACTTGAGCCAAGGTCTTGCAGAAAGCCGGAGTCAGTAAACACAGACATTCTGATATGAGACACATCTTAACCACTGTCATAAGTGCTAGCCTAAATGCTCTCCCCACTCTACTAGCAAATATGATAGAACTTTGGAAGAAAAAAAAAAGCACTGTAATACCAAATAACCAAGAAAAATTAAGTTTGAAAGAAAGACTCATGAATGTTAAGGACTTCCTAGAGGCAGAACTATTTATAAAGCCTGTTTACAATATTCCATGTCTCTAAGATTTTTTGTTTTTTAAAGGGAAAGGGTTTATTGAGGAAATCCGACAGACCAGAGGGAAGGAGTGAAGAAGGAGAAAGAGAGAGGTCAAGAGACAGAGATCAGGAGATAGAGAGAAAGAGACAGGTGTTCAGGAACAGGTTCTTTTAATGCTTTGCCAGGGTGCAGGCAGGGAGGTAGGAGCAGCGAACCCCATTAGGATGGGGGTGGGACTGACACCAGTGGTTGGGTCATGTGGCCACCTGGCTTCCAGCAATGGCGAACTCTCTAAGATTTTTAATTTTTGACTTTTTTTTTGACTTTTTAATGACTAGGTTCTGGATGAGCATACTGTCCTGGAACAGGGGTTATAGAGTGAATACGGAAGAAACACTTAGAGATCACATCAAAAAAAAAAAAAAAAAAGATAATAATAAACCATCTGGATCCAGAACCCCCCAAATAAATAATATTAGAAATAAAGATGTGATCAAAACAAGAAAATGAAACACTGTCAAGCCTTTGTGTACTACTAGTTAGGAACATTGTAATATAACTATAAAATATAATTCAGAATTCTAAGACACTGCCTAATACAAACTAAATGATCCAGTAATACAGCAATATATCTTTAAGATTCTCAAAATATAAAAATGACTTGAGGTTATTACAGTAAATGAATAATTATCAAAAACTGGAAAACAACCTAAATGTCTAAAGGGAAAGGGGTCTTCCAACAACTGAGTCACTCCCCAGGTGGACAACACCCAGGAATGGGCCAGGCTGAAGCCAGGGGCTCCATCCTTGTCTCCCCAATGGGTGGTAGAGGCCCAACTACTTGGGCCATCTTCCACTGCTTTTGCCAGGCCATTATCAGGGAGCTGGATCAGAACAGTAGTAGCTGGGACATGAACTGGAAGCCATATATGGGATGTCAGCATCAAAGGAAGAGGCTTTACCCAATGTGCCACAACACTGGCTCCTGCCCACACTTATATCAGACACAATATATTTCCCACCAGGAACATATAATTATTATAAGTACATAATTTACCTAATATCGAGCACCCAAATATGAGAAGCAAACATGATAGAACTGAAGGGAGAAACAATAAGAAAGAGATTTCAGGGGCTGGCGCTGTGGCGCAGTGGGTTAATCCTCTGCCTGTGGCGCCGGCATCCCATATGGGCGCTGGTTCAGGTTCCGGCTACTCCTCTTCCAAAATTCAGCTCTCTGCTGTGGCCTGGGAAAGCAGTAGAAGATGGCCCAAGTACTTGGGCCCCTGCACCCACATGGGAGACTGGGAAGAAGCACTTGGCTCCTAGCTTTGGATCAGCACAGCTCTGGCCATTGCCGGCATTTGGGGAGTGAACCAAAGGAAGGAAGACCTTTCTCTCTCCCTCTTACTGCCTGTAACTCTACCTCTCAAATAAATAAATAAAAAATCTTAAAAAAAAAAAGAAAGAAAGAAAGAAAGAAAGAAAGAAAGAAAGAAAGAAAAGAAAAGAAAAGAAAAGAAAAGAAAAGAAAAGAAAAGAAAAGAAAAGAAAAGAAAAGAAAAGAAAAGAAAAGAAAAGAAAAGAAAAGAAAAGAAAAGAAAGAGATTTCAATGCCCCACCTAGCAATAATGAAAGAACCACCATATGTAAGATCTATATGAAAAAGGCCTGGAACAATTCAGTAGAATAATAAGACCCAACAGATATATACCCCACCTATCAGTAGCAGAATATACATTCTTCTCAGGAGCCTATGGTACATTCTCCAGGACACGGTAGGTCACAAAACATGTCTTAGCAAATTTAAGAAGTTCAAGATCACACCAAATATCTCTTCTGACAACAATGGAATAAGCCTAGAAGTCAGCATTATTACAGAATCTGGAAAATTCACAAATATGTGGAAATTAGAACACACTCTTGAACAACCACTGAATCAAAGAAAAAATCATAATGGAAATTAAAAAAAAAGTTTGAGATACATGAAAAACAATATACTACAACTTATGGGATACAGATAAAGAGGGACATTATATTGGTAAATGTCTATATTAAAAAAGAAATAATTCAAATCAACAGTCTAACTTTACAACTCAAGGAACTAGAAAAATAGGAACAAAAAAAAAACCATAAAACTCAAAGTAGAAGAACAATAAATAGTAGAGCAGAAGTAAATGAAACAGAAAAGAAAAAAAATCAACTTCACTTTTTGAAAACAAAAAGGCCCTTAGCAAGATTAGAAAAAAAAATACTCAAATCACTAAAATCAGAAAGTGATGTTACAATTTCCATCACAGAAATAAAGTTTCATAGAGACAACTATGACAACATATTCAACAGCCTGGAAGAAATGAGTAAATTCTAAAATATGCAATCTACCAAGACTGAGTCATGAAGAAACAAGAAATCTGAACAGACCTGTAACTAGCAAGGAGATTAAATAACTAATCAAAAATCTCCCACCAGGGACTATGGCACACTGCCACTTACAATGCCAGCATCCCAAATGGAATTACTAGTGTGAGTCCTGGGTACTCTACTTTGGATCCAGCTTCCTGCTAATGCTCCTGGGAAGGCAGCAAATGATGGTCCAGGTGCTTCTAACTCTGCCACCCATGTGGGAGACAAGAATAGTTTCAGCCTGGACCATCCTGGTTATTGTGGCCCTTTAGGGAATGAACCAGTAAAGGAATATCAATATCTCCCCCTACCCCCGACTTCTATCCTCCTCTCTTTTCAAGTAAACAAATCAATCGTAAAAAAAAAAAAAAAAAAAAAAAAAAGGGCCGGCGCCGCGGCTCACTAGGCTAATCCTCCACCTAGCGGCGCCGGCACACCGGGTTCTAGTCCCGGTCGGGGCGCCGGATTCTGTCCTGGTTGCCCCTCTTCCAGGCCAGCTCTCTGCTGTGGCCCGGGAGTGCAGTGGAGGATGGCCCAGGTGCTTGTGCCCTGCACCCCATGGGAGACCAGGAAAAGCACCTGGCTCCTGGCTCCTGCCATCGGATCAGCGCGGTGCGCCGGCCGCAGCGCGCCGGCCGCGGCGGCCATTGGAGGGTGAACCAATGGCAAAAGGAAGACCTTTCTCTCTGTCTCTCTCTCTCTCACTGTCCACTCTGCCTGTCAAAAAAAAAAAAAAAAAAACTTCCCAAAATGAAAAAGTCCAGGACCTCTGCTATGGCCTGGGAAAGCAGTAGAAGATGGCCCAAGTCCTTGGGCCCCTGCACCTGTGTGGGAGACCCAGAAAAAGCTCCTGGCTTCGGATCAGAACAGCTCCAGCCATTGCGGCCAACAGGGAGTGAACCAGTGGATGGAAGAGCTCTCTGCCTCTACCTCTCTCTCTGTAACTCTTTCAAATAAATAAAATCTTAAAACACACACACACACACACACACACACATACACAAAAGAAAAGAAAGACAACGACGTGGATGCCAGAGTCACAAGCAGGTCACAAGCAGTGGCTTTACCCACTATGCCAGAGTGCTGGACCCCAAAAACAATTTCTAAAACTTGATCTTTAACAGCTGGATTTAAATCTTAGGCTCAGAATCCCTCATTACTTGCCATAACCAATTGAGTCCCAAAAAGCTCACAGATATTTTAAAAAGGAAAATGGGCATCGGGTACAAAACTGGAAGGAGTAGTTTCTGGTAAAATTTAATTTCTGAAAGAAAATATATGGAAATCTGATCTTAAAATTTAAGATTCAGACCCCTTCTACATAAAAAGTCCTTCTGGGGGGCTGGCATTGTGGTGCAGCAGATAAACCACTTCTATGATGCCAGCTGCTCCACATCTGATCAGACACCCTGCTAATGCACCTGAAGCAGCAGGCGGCCCAAGTCCCAAGGCCCTTGCACCCACATGGGAGACCCAGATGGAATTCCAAGCTCCTGGCTTCGGCGTGTCCAGCCTCAGTGGTTGCATTCATTTGGGGAGTGAACCAGAGAATAGAAGATCAATCGGTGTCTTTTCCCCCTCCCCCTATCACTCTGCCTGTCAAATAAAAAATAAATAAAGTCCTTTCTTCATTCAAGTAACAATCCTTCCTTCCCACTTTACAATTCACCTTCCATTGAAACAGACCATGTCCACGAGGACAACATTATCAGTACTTTCTCCACTCCCTTTCTATCTTGGTCCCAAGTCCTTACCTGGTTCGGGAAGCTCAGCTTGTGGTGTCAAACTGGGGATTCCTGGTTCCTTTTCCATGTCCTCATTGCTGGCGGCAGATTTATCACAAACATTCAACTGTGGCCCAACTGAATCTAAGCAGCCAGCATGATTTGGATCTGTCACTGAGTCCTCTACTATGTTTGTAGGAGGAGGAGTTCTATGCTCTGGGAACTCATCCCGCCCCTTCTGCACAGGGTCACCAGGAAGCAAGACTCCAAAGGCATCCTCAGAGTTTTCTTTCTCCCTAGATCTGTTAGTGCGCTTACGAGGTTTAGTGCGCCTTTGGTTTAAACGCTGCCAGCGCTTTTTAGGCACCACTTGATTTACACCATTGGGTTCATCATTCTCACTGTTCATTTCAGAGTTCAATTCAGGATCTTTCCTGTTTTCAAAAGTAGGTTCTTTTTCGGGAATTTTATCAGGGTCAGACTGCTTAACCTTGTTATCAAAATGAACATCAGAAAATTGGATAGCATCTTCACTCGTTAAATGGCCCGTTTGTTGACTGGATTCTTTACCAGAATCTTCTGCCCCATCTCTTGATGAGCCACTCACTGAGCTTCCACTCTCTTTGTCTCCCTGCAGTGGAACCTCTAGAGTCACAGCAGGAAGCTGGCTCGGTTTTCTCTTGCGCTCTGTCTTTAAGGCCTTGCGGTTCACGGTGTTCTTTCCCATCTGGGTTGAAAAAGCATCACGCAATTTGGATGGCTTAGATCGCCCGCAGTTGCGCCTAGTCACACAGTTTGAACGACTTTTAACAGAAACAGAGAGGTCTCTCTTGTCAGACACTAACCCAGGTAAAGAGGCAGACAACTCCACAGACGGTGCAGAGTCACCCCCGCTAGGGCTAGGACGGGCTGAGTCCTGAGTGACATCTCCACTTTTTTCTGAATTATGGGTGAAGCTTCCCGAAACCAAAATCTTGGAAGCCCCTACAGGACTACTGGTAGAACAATCCCCCCGACTAGGACTCCGATAAGAGATCAAGTTTTGAGCAGTCATCAATCGCTGCTCCTTTGTCTTACTATCATGCATGTCTTTTAACATCATTAGCAATGTACTGAATTTGTAGTCTGGCTCAATAGGTATATGATTCTGATTAGAAGCAGAAGAAAAAAGTAACGGTTTTGATGGCTTTGACGTACCAGAGTCACTGACATCCTCACTTAAGGATCTGTAAGAGAGTTCCTTCAGCTCTGACAGAACATGCTTCACCACGGCTGTTTCTATGTCACTTGAATCTCTGGTTTTCTCATGCATGTTGCTCAGTAGTTTCAGCCCGTCCATTTTCCCACTTTTTGAAATGCTGGCCAAAGGAGAGCCTTTAGTATCTGAAGAGCAGCATTTCAAACTGCAGTCCTCATTTGGAACTGATGGTTCTACAATAAGTGGATTTTCTTTATGCTTGCACTTTATACTTCGGAACTTGGGTGGTTTGCTTTTCGAATGTAACAGAGTCTGATTTGTAGCCCCACCCGTTACTAATGAGTTCTCACTGGAAATGGCTGATGGTGTGTTGAATTTGGGAGCAAGACTATCATTTTTAAAATCTGATTGGGGTTTGTGGACAAGAGTGGACACCGTAAGGTCAGAGAGATTAACCTGAGACATCTCAGTTCCCAGCTCTGTTGTCTTAGTACAATTCATTAAGTGGTCTGTATGTGAGTTAGTAATGAGGGATTTCTGTTTTGGTTTTACTCTGGAGTTTGTGGCAGGATACCTAGAATACTTTATCTTTTCATTTTTCTGCATGGATAATATGTTCTCTGTTCTATCAAAAGTATCTGTAATTTCAAGGATACTGTTATCTGATTCTGAGCTGTGTTCTACAGGATCTAGATCACTGCTTCCATCATCAGAAGTGGTGCAGATACTAATGGAATCACTTCGCTTTTCCTCATCACCTGTTCCAATATAGCAAAGCTGCACTTTTGAACTACACACCAGACCTCGCTGGGGCTTCTTTTTCTCTCCAGAACATTTAGAAATCAAGGTACCCTCAGACAAGCCCAATAAAGAGTCACAATTTGAAGTCTCAAATTCTTTCTTTGCAGTGTTTTGTCCACAAGAAGAAAATAGGAAACTTCCTGGGGCAGTATTGGACCCTGTGAGGCTGTTTGCTATCCTGGAAAGTTCATTAGATGCCTGTTTATCAGACACATCCCCAGAGATAAAGTTTAGGCCAAGGTTCTCAGAAATCTTTCCCCTCCGTTCTTCCTTATGTGCTTCAAACTGCATGTGGCCCTTTTTCACACTAGTCCTTTTTGGATTATCACAGTTCTTTCTGGCTCGAGATTTAGCACAAGACTTTTCCTTCTCGTCTGCAGAATGTTCAGAATCAAAAGCCAGAGATTTCAAGCAGCCATTAAGTAATAGGTCGTGTTCTGAATCAGGATCATTTGTACAGTCCTCAAATGGCATGTCCTCCTCACTGTCCAACTTGATGGAAGTACTGACACAGTTGCGATTCTTTGATCCTTTGGGAACATCATACTGTTCAGCAAGACCAACACTGGCTTCCCATTTACTCAAAATTTTCTGAGGAACCTTAAATTTAAAGGAGAAAAAGTATCACTTATCAGAGAAATGGGAGGGGGACCCAAGGAAATGATAAATAAATGACTCTCTCTCAAATCAGAAGTTTTTTCAAACATTGTTAGATAGCTTAAAGGCCCTTATACTGTTACTAGCCAGAAATTTAGTTCCTAAGCTCATCCAAGGCTTACCTGATGGGAATTTCTCAGTACTACTGTCACCAATAAGATCTACCATTAGAGAAAGGATTGAGCTCACATACATTCTACCTTTTCTGCATTTATAAGCAAAGGAATGGACCATAACCTAAGATATAAAAGACAGAACAAAATACACATTATTTTCTTGATTCCTCACAGCAAACAGACACTGAGGAGCTATAAAATACTCTTAATTTTTCAGGTTCTTATTTCCTTCCTTGGTTTTATGTAATAAATATTATTCAAGGTTCTAACTACACCAGTTACTATTCAGAAATACTACAGATCATGTAAAAATTAACATCACTGAATAGGCAGCCTCCTCTTACAAGGCAATAAACTGACCATTTGGTTTCTTTTACAAACACACCCATTCATGCTCATATCTGCCACCAGAATAAACTCATTTTCTAGACCTCAAGGCCGTAGTCTAAAAAGAGGGTTGGTAAATCTACATAAATAAAGTCTGAACAGACAAACTCTTGACACCTCCCCACCATCAACCACTCAGACTATCAGGAAGGATGCACTTAACCAATTTCATCCTAACAACAGCATACATGAGCAGTTCACAATGCTTACGACATAGTAAGCATTTCATACTAATTGATATCTTCATAACAGTTCTGTAAGAGATGAAGATACCAACACTTAGAGAACTCAAGGTGTTAGTGGCATAATCTGTAGACCTATGGCACTACATTATACTAGTCATGACTTTTTTTTTTTTCCCCACAGGCAGAGTAGACAGTGAGAGAGACAGAGAGAAAGGTCTTCCTTTACCGTTGGTTCACCCCTCAATGGCCACTGCGGCAGGGGCACTGCGCTGATCTGAAGCCAGGAGCCAGGTGCTTCTCCTGGTCTCCCATACTGGTGCAGGGCCCAAGGACTTGGGCCATCCTCCACTGCACTCCCGGGCCACAGCAGAGAGCTGGACTGGAAGAGGGGTAACCGGGACAGAATCCGGCACCCTGACCGGGACTAGAACCAGATGTGCCAGTGCTGCAGGCAGAAAATTAGCCTATTGAGCCGCGGCACCGGCTATTAATCATGACTTTTTAAAAATTAGTCTAAAGGTATTTAAACAGGGGAGTATAAAACATCAACCTAAGAAGAACTATTTCCTCTTATAGGTTTGACGATAAAATACTAAATAAAAGACAGTAGAAAGGTGATTGCCAGAGATGAAGGAAGAGAAAAATGGAGATGTACTGTTTAATGGGTATGGTTTTAGTTTTATGAGATGAAAAGAATTCCAGAGATGGATAACTGCACAACATTATGAATGTTTTTCATATTTAACTATACACAAAAAGGTTAAGATAATAAATGTAATGTTACATATATTATAGCATAATAAAGATTATGGGTGAAAAGAATATTAAAAGAAAATAAGGCAAAATTTTTCTGAGACAAATTTAACAGAAAACCTTAGATACTGTAATGGGCTAAGCTGCTGCCTATAATGTCAGCGTCACCTATGGGATGAGTCCCGGCTGCTCCACTTCCAATCCAGCTCCCTGCTAATGCAACTGGGAAAGCAGTGGAAGATGGCCCAAGTGATTGGTCCTCTGTCACCCACCTGGGAGACCTAGATGTACTTCTTGGCTCCTGGCATCAGCCTGGCCCAGCTCTAGCTGTTGCAGTCATTTGGGGAATGAACCAGTGGTTGAAAGATATCTCCCTGTTACTCTGCCTTTTAAATAAATCTTTAAGAAAGAAAGGGGGGAAGGTGACAGAAAAGGACTGCAGAAGAAGAATGGGAAGGTGAAATAAAGGAAAACAAAGGGAAGGAAAGAGAAACAGGAAGAAAAATAAAGAAAAAAGGGAGAAGAACTTGCTTCCTAGCTATTTTCTGACACTATACTACGAAAGGAAATGGTATATTTCAAAATACACTATTTGCCTGCCTCCTTTCTAACCAACCCAAAACTATGTAACTTTCAAATACGCTTTTTAAAAAATTTTCTTTTCAAGAGAAAGAGAGACAAAGAACTCGAGAGTGAAGGAAAGAGGATAGGCAAGAAGGAGCACTCCCATCCATTTGTTTAATGTCCAAATGCCTGCAATGGGAACTCAATCCAGGTGTCCCACACGGGTGCCTGGAACCCAACCATGTGACCCATCAGTGAAATGCTTCCCAAGGTCTGCATTCGCAAGCCAGGTTTTGAGCCCTGGCACTGTAATGACAGACACTAGCATCTCAACCACCTCAAGAGGCTTTTTTGTTTACCTTATGCCTATATCCTTTTTCTTTCTGCTTCCCTCTTCTCCTAAGGACAGGTAGCTCTTCAAACTGATGTCTGCCTTCAAACATGACGATTGCTTTTCCAGCTACCCAGGCTCTTTCAGAAGGGTCTCCAAAAGCCTCAACATAGTATTGCCGATAGGGCCTCCGGTTGGAAACTAGATGAGGATAAAAATTAATCAATTCATTAATTCAAAAGATGACTAGTGAATACCAAGAAAATAGCATCACCTATATTCCTAAAGAAGACACTGCTTACAATTAACCAAGTAAAATACCTACAAAACTTAATCTGAAGTAAGGTATGTGAAAGGAAAATTTAGGGGCCAGCATTGTGGCATAGCGGGTAAAGCCACTGCCTGCAGTGCTGGCATCGAATACGGGCACTGGTTCAAGACCCAGCTGCTCCACTTCCAATCCAGCTCTCTGCTAAGGCCTGGGACAGCAATAGAAGATACCCAAGTCCTTGGGCCCCTGCACCCACATGGGAAGACCTGGAAGAAGCTCCTGGCTCCTGGCTTCGGATCAGCTCAGCTTCTGCCATTGCGGCCAACTGGGGAGTGAATCAGCAGATGGAAGACCTCTCTCTCTCTGCCTCTCCTCTGTGTAACTCTGACTTTTAAATAAAATAAATAAATCTTTACAAAAAAAGAAAGAAAGGAAAATTTCAACTATTCAATTGATGTGGGAAAAAATTTCTAGAAGTTTATTAAAAGAATCTTTACTCTGGGTGCAAAACCAGTTCAAAACCAGTTAGAGGTAGATAGCTAATTACACAGTAAATTAAGATAGCAGCCAAATAAGCTCTTTTTAGCATCAGTCTATAAAATGCTATAACCTCATTGTCACAGAACACAAAGGACATAAGCTAAAGTAGCACAAATATAACTAAAAAATAAATAACAAAAAAATTCTAAAACCACTATGCTAAAATACGAGAAGGCATAAATGTTTTCAAACAGTGCCATATACAACACACTAACATCTTTATAGCCACTATTCTGGGCTTGACACTGCACTAGATACTTTGCCTAGATTCCATTCATGAACTCTAAGAAGTAAGTTGAATCTCAATTATACCAACACAGTAGGTACAACAACTTCAGAGAGTAAATTCATCACTAAAAATTGACTCTACCAGGGGCCGGTGCCATGGCTCACTTGGTTAATCCTCTGCCTGTGGCACTGGCATCCCATGAGCACCGGATTCTCGTCCCGGTTGCTCCTCTTCCAGTCCAGCTCTCTGCTGTGATCCGGGAAGGCAGTGGAGGATGGCCCAAGTGCTTGGGCCTCTGCACCCACGTGGGAAACCAGGAAGAAGTGCCTGGCTCTTGGCTTCAGATCAGTGTGGCTTCAGCCATAGCAGCCATTTGAGGGGTGAACCAACAGAAGGAAGACCTTTCTCTCTGTCTCTCTCTCTGTCTAACTCTATCTGTCAAAAAAAAAAAAAAAATTGACTCTACCAAAGAAGTGGAATCTGAAGTCTCAAATAAGGAAAATATTTTATAAGAAAAAAAAGAAGCCCAGGGGGTTGGCACTGTGGCATAGGGGGTAAAGCTGCCACCTGTAACATCAGCATATGGGCGTCAGTTCCAGTCCTGGCTGCTCTACTTCTGATGCAGTTCCCTGTAAACACGCCTGGTAAAGCAGTAGAGGAAAGCCCAGGTCCTTGGGTCCCTGAACCCATGTGAGAGACCCAGAAGAAATTCCTGGCTCTTGGATTTGGGCTGGCCCAGCCCTGACCAGTGCAGCCATTTGGGGAGTGAACCAGTGGATGGAAGATCTCTCTCTCTCTCTCCCGCTCTCCCCACCAACCCACCGCTCTCCATAACTCTGCCTTTCAAATAAATAAAATAACTCTTTTTAAAAAGCAGAAAAAGAAAGAAACCCAATTACTCTAAACTTTTTTCATTGTCCAAAGTTCTACATATACAATTGTCAAAAATAAAAACAGGAGTGAGAGTTTGACCTAGCAAGTAACTTAAAGGTTTAGACATTCCACACCAGAGTGTCTGGATTCCAGTCCAGGCTCCCCTCTCCCTATTTCAGTTTCCTGCCAATGTGCGTCCTGGGAGGCAGCAATTGATTGACAGCACAATAGTTGGTCCTTGTCACCTCAGTGGGAGATCTGGATTGACTTTCTGGTTCCTGGCTGTAGCCTAACCAGTGGAAGCCACTGCAAGTATAGGGAGATGTAAGTCAGGATATAGGAAATGTCTCTCTCATTCTCTTTCTAATAAATACTCTAAAAAATTTAAATAATACTAATGATATCTAGAAAAAGATAAAATCTAATTTATCAAGTAAATATATAAGGGGCATCAAAAAAAATTCATGGAAAAGGTATATTATGAAAAAATTATGACTAGATTTCAATTTTTAGGTACCAAAATAAGCTTTATCTTTTTTTTGTATCACTTTTATTTTTTTATTTTATTTTTTATTTTTGACAGGCAGAGTGGACAGTGAGAGAGAGACAGAGAGAAAGGTCTTCCTTTGCCCTTGGTTCACCTTCCAATGGCCGCCGCGGCCGGCATGCTGCGGCTGGCGCACGGCGCCAATCCGAAGGCAGGAGCTAGGTGCTTCTCCTGGTCTCCCATGGGGTGCAGGGCCCAAGCACTTGGGCCATCCTCCACTGCACTCCCTGGCCACAGCAGAGAACTGGCCTGGAAGAGGGGCAACCGGGAAAGAATCCGGCGCCCTGACCGGGACTAGAACCCGGTGTGCTGGCGCTGCAGGCGGAGGATTAGCCTAGTGAGCCAAGTTGTTGGCCCGTATTTGAATTTTTAAAACAAGAGATTTTGTTCCTTTAGGGCAGGGGTGGGGAACCTTCTTTAATGCCAAGGGCCATTTGGATATTTATAACATCATTTTTAATTGAACTTGTTTTGAAATATTCTTCAATTATTCCACACACTTAGCATTTTAACATATTTCAGAGTAAAAGATTACAAAAGAAACAATGAAGGGTAAATAGGTTTAAAAATCTATTACTCTTGAAAAAAAGTAAATGAAAATCATTTTATGCAAAAATTCACTTGAATTAAATTCAACAGAAACTACCTCTAAAAGGAGATTAAACTGGTAAGATGGTATAAGTGAATATACACAGTGGTTCTTTAAGTCAATTTGAAAAGTAAATTATTTGGTCATAAACAAATAATTCGACTAAAATATCTGGAATTCCATGTATAAAAAGAGAAAAAAAATTCACTGCCTGGTGGAAAATAAAATAAATAGACTAGGTAGAGGCCGGCCCTGTGGCACAGCAGGTAAAGCCAGCATCTGCAATGCTGATATCCCATATGGGTGCTGGTTCGAGTTCCAGCTGCTCTGCTTCCAATCCAGCTCTCTGCTATGGCCTGGGATAGCAGCAGAAGATGGTCCAAGTGCTTGGGCCCTGCACCCTTGTGTGAGACCCAGAAGAAGCTCCTGGCTCCTAGCTTTGGGTCGGCCCAGCTCTGGCTGTTGCAGTCATTTGGGGAGTGAACCAGTGGATGGAAGGCCTCTCTCTCTCTCTCTGTCTCTCCTGTGTAACTCTGACTTTAAAATAAATAAATAAAACTTAAAAAAAAAATAAAATAAGAAACAGAAGACTCAGTACATTCAAGACCACCAAAGTACTGTAGACACAACTTGACTAGAACCTAAACTATGAGAGACGCACTATGTCACAGCAGGTTAGGCCACTTCTTGCTACACTGGCACCCAATGTCACAGTGCTGGTTCAAGTCCTGGCTGCTCCGTTTCCCAATTCAGCTTCCTGCCAATGTGTCTGGGAGAACAATGAATGATGGCCCAAGTACTTGGGTCCCTGCTACCCACTTGGGAGATGGAGCTCCTGGTTCCTGGCTTCAGCCTGCCCTAGCCCTGGCCATTGTGGCCATTTGGAGGGTGAACCAGGGGATAGAAGATCTCTCTCAATCTCTCTCTCTCTCTCTGTAACTCTTCCTTTCAAATAAAAAAATAATTATTTTGAAATTGAAATAAATAATAAAATAAAGGTTCGGCACTGTAGTATGGCATGCTACATGAAACTACCATCCCATATCAAAGCAACACTTCTAATCAAGTTCCCTGTTAACAAGCCTGGGAAAGTAGTGGATAACAGCCCAAGTGTTTGGGCCCTGCCACCCATGTGGAAGAGTCACATGGAATTCTTGGTTCTCAGCTATCACCTTTGAACCTGTGAATAGAAGATCTCTTTCTTTGTCTCTCCCTCTATGTCACCCTGCCTTTCAAAAAAACCAAATCTTTTTAAAAAGAGAACCTAGCATAGAGGGTAAAACTGCGACCTATGGCGCCAGCATCCCACATGGGCGCTAGTTCAAGTCCCAGCTGTTTCACTTCCGATCTAGCTCCCTGATAATGCAGCTAGGAAGGCAGCGGAAAATGACCCAAGTGCCAAGGCTGCTGTACCCACATGGGAGACCCAGATGAAGCTACTGGCTACCAGCTTGGGATCATGCCAGTTCTGGCCTTTGCAGCCATTTGAGGAATCAACCAACAGACAAAAAGATCTCTCTGGGGGCCAGTGTTGTGGCATAGTGGGTAAAGCCACCGCCTGTAATGCCAGCATCCCATATGCACCCAGGTTTGAGCCCAGGCTGCTTCTCTTATGATCCAACTCTCTGCTATGGCCTGGGAAAGCAGTAGGAGATGGCCCAAGTCTGTGGGTCCCTGCACCCACGTGGAAGACCTGGAAGAAGCCCCTGGCTCCTGGCTTTGGATTGGTGCAACCCCAGCCATTGCAGCCAATTGAAGAGTGAACCAACAGATGGAAGACTGACCTCCCTTCCTCCCTCCCTCCCTCTCTCTCTCTGCCTCTCCTTCTCTCTCAGTGTAACTCTTTCAAGTAAATAAATAAATCTTAAAAAAAAAAAAAAAAAACTCTCTTTAATTTTGCTTTTCAAATAAATAAATATATCTTAAAAAGAAAAAAAAGTATGGAACTAAGCAGTTTTAAAAACAAAGGAAGCTTAAAACTCACTTCCAAAAAACTGAAAAATGAACCTGCAAAAGTGACCTGAACTGCTACTATATAAAAACAGAAAAGGGGAGGGAGATGAGAACGTCTTTGGATTTGCAAAAACACACACACACACACACACACACATATACAAACTCTGGGAGGACACTTTTTTTTTTTTTTTTTTTTTTTTTTGCCAGAGTGTCTTGGCTTTCCATGCCTGAAATACTCTCATGGGCTTTTCAGCCGGATCCGAATGCCTTTAGGGCTGATTCTGAGGCCAGAGTGCTATTTAGGACATCCACCATTCTATGAGTCTGCTGTGTATCTCACTTCCCATGTTGGATCGCTCTCCCCTTTATTTATTCTATCGGTTAGTATTAGCAGGCACTAGACTTGTTTATGTGATCCCTTTGACTCTTAGTCCTTTCATTATGATCAATTGTGAACAGAAATTGATCACTTGGACTAGTGAGATGGCATTGGTACATGCCACCTTGATGGAACTGAATTGGAATCCCCTGGTATGTTTCTAACTCTACCATTTGGGGCAAGTCAGCTTGAGCATGTCCCAAATTGTACATCTCTTCCCACTCTTATTCCCACTCTTATATTTAACAGGGATCACATTTCAGTTGAATTTCAACACTTAAGAATGACTGTGTATTAATTACAGAATTAAACCAGTAGTATTAAGTAGAACAGACAAAAAAAAAATGCTAAGAGGGATAACGTATTAAGGACCTAAATGAAAGATCTCTGTGAGTGAGATCCCAGTGGAAAGAACAGGTCTTCAAAGAAGGAGGTACCTTTCTCTGAAGGGAGGAGAGAACTTCCACTTTGACTATGACCTTGTCTAAATAAGATAAGAGTCGGTGAACTCAAAAGGCTTCCATAGCCTTGGAAACTCATGACTGGAGCATAGGGAGATTACTGATGCCATAAACAGGAGTGTCAATTTGTAAAGTCAACAACAGGAGTCACTGTGCACTTACTCCTCATGTAGGATCTCTGTCCTTAATGTGCTGTACATTGAGATTTAATGTTATAACGAGTACTCAAACAGTATTTTTCACTTGGTGTTTCTATGTGGGTGCAAACTGTTGAAATCTTTACTTAATGTATACTAAACTGATCTTCTGTATATAAAAAAAATTGAAAATGAATCTTGATAAGAATGGAAGGGGAGAGACAGCGGGAAAGGGGAGGGTTGCGGGTGGGAGGGAAGTCATTGGGGGGGGGGGAGCCAATGTAATCCATAAGCTGTATTTTGGAAATCTATATTCATTAAACAAAAGTTAAAAACAAAAACAACAAAAAAAAAACTGGTTACCCAGAAGAGTGTGGAGTGCACTGATTTAAAACCCCATGAACATGCGACCTATTCAAAAACTAAATATGATATTAAACAGCATTTAAAAAATCTCAATGCATCTTAACAGAAAAAGAGAGCTCAAAATCAAGTTCTGCCCCTACCTTTACAGCAATTTAAGAATAAGGCACCTGAGATTCAAATAGACCAACCAAGTAAGAAACAACTATAGTAATTAAAGAAAATGCTTCTAAATGAGACTTCAAAATTCAATGTAACTTATACACATTATAATTGTCTCAGATTGTTGATTATCAAAAATGATACAAATCTGAAGATTAAAGTAAAAACATGTAAAAATACTGAAGAATGATTGTGGACATTGTAAACTTTAGGTGAACAGCCTAACAATTTCCTAGCGTCTACAGTTAGTGACTGAGAAGTTTTAAATCATAGAATAAAATAAAATTTAAAAACACAAAAACACTGAATATGTAACTATTCACAAAAATGCTCAAAGGAATGGATGATTACTAAAGGCAAGAAAAATTGGCTTATATTAAATAATTGCAAATTTAAAATTCATTCTGTTTTTATTCCGAATAACAACTGCAAGAATTACCTTTCATTTTTGAGTGTGTGTTAATCAATGGATCAGAACAAATCTTGCAGGGCCACCATGGGCGTCTCTTGAACTTTGCCCAGATGAGATCTCCAACTTCATACTTCAGTGGTGTCGACTTTTTCTTGGGTTGACACTTTAGACAGATAAAACATGGGATATCTATCACTAAGAAGCAAAAGCTTTTGAAACAATGTTATCATTACCCTTCTGAACAAGCTATTCCCAAAAAATTTAAGAAAGAAAACATTTCAGACTAACAATTACTAAATAGGTCCACCTACTTTCCCTTAATTGTTCATAACATTGTCATCTGTAGCACAGTAGTCCTCAACTTAAATTTGTCTCATATAATTAGCCTGCTGGCATTCTGAAAATAAAATTAAAGATGGTCTGATTTATAAAGAACTAAAAACTGAAATAAATAATAGGTAAACAAAAGCATCCCAAGGAAAAGATACACTTGTTCTAGTCCTCGAATCATAACACTGTGGTGGGGGAGAAGTATAAAAGAATTTTAACAATATCAAGAGACTGTAGACCCTTCTGCAGTTCATATTCTACATCCTCCTCAAATAGACATTTTTGTTAATTAATTAACAAATGGCTATAATGAAAAAATCCTGAGTTATATACAAGGTAAATTCTTAGCAACTGATCTAGATTTTTCCCAGGATATGCAAAATTAGGCTGCATCCAGAACAACCTGCTGTCCCACTCCAAGGGACAACACTCAGAATCCAATATGAACGAATCCCTGGGAACTGTCCAGTGTACACACTGGCTGCAGCTTTTCTCTAAATATGTCTGACTGACATGGATCCAAATTCTTCCATATCAGCTGTAAACTCATATCCATGCCTTCAGAACCACACAAATGGTAAAAACTGATTGCCTTGAGATGAAAACATTATGTGTTTCATAGGCCTGAGCTTCCCATCTGGTACACCAAAAGAATTGAACATGTGTTGAGATATTTCTGGATGGCCAAAAGAAGTATTTGGGAATCTTACAGTAAGAGTAATCTTTTGACACCAAGGAGAAATATAAATATCCTTGTTTTCTTCAACTACCTTGAAGACAGCTTGGTAAGAAACAACATCAGTTTCAATCTTCCCTCCTTAATGCCTAAAACAGTACCCACCTAGCACTAAGGAGTCATAAAGAGTATGGTGAATTTTTTTTAAAGATTTATTTTATTCACTTGAAAGGCAGAGTTACAAAGAGAGACAGGGAGAAACAGAGAGATTTCCCATCTGCTGGTTCACTCCCCAAATGGCTGCAACAGCCATGGCTGGTCCAGGTTTGAGCCAAGAGCCAAGAGCTTCATCCAGGTTTCCCAAATGGGTGCAGGAGCCCAAGGACTTGGGCCATCTTCCACTGCGTTTCCAGGCGCATTAGCAGGGAGCTGGACTCCAACAGGTGACCACATGGGATGCCAGCATCACAGGCAGTGACTTTCCCTGGTATGACATGATGCCAGCCCCAAGTCTGGTGAATTAATTTCATTTAAATAATTCAAATAAGTTATGAATAATATCATAACTCAAGGACCGGGTTCTAGTCCCGGTCGGGACACTGGATTCTGTCCCGGTTGCCCCCCTTCCAGGCCAGCTCTCTGCTGTGGTCCGGGAGTACAGTGGAGGATGGCCCAAGTGCTTGGGCCCTGCACACGCATGGGAGACCAGGAGAAGCACCTGGCTCCTGTTTTCGGATCAGTGCGGTGCGCCAGCCGTGGTGGCCATTGGAGGGTGAACCAACGGCAAAAGGAAGACCTTTCTCTCTGTCTCTCTCTCTATCCACTCTGTCAAAAAAAAAAAAAAAAATTCCATATCTATTAGAATACTTGATTCAAATCCTGCTATTCTTTTCTTCTGCTCCAGCCTCTTGCTAACACAGCTCGGAGATGGCAGATAATGGCCCAAGTGCTTGAGCTCCTGCTACTCACATAGGAGACTGGGATGGAGTTCCAGGCTCCTCGTTCCCACCTGACCTAGCCCTGGCTGTTGGGGCCATTTGGGCAGTGAACCAGTTGATGGAAGATGGTGCTCGCTCTCGCTCGTGCACTCTCTGCCTCTCCCTCTCCCTCTCTTGCCTTTCAAAGAATTAAAAAAAAAAAAAAAGAACAAAATAAATCTCAAATACACATATAGATGACTTAAGACCAGTTTAAAAGATTAACCTTGGAAAGAGAAATTCACAAATATATCCTCTTCAAATCCTTAATTAAAATGCATGCAAATTCATCAGACAGCAGAATACAAAACTATAAAGACAAAAAATGAGTAAGTCATAATTAATTCCCAACCTCTGGAGAGGGGGCAGGCATATGGCTCAGTGGTTCATACACCCACATCCCATTTTGTCCCCATCATATAAGAGAGTTTCAGTTCTGTTTCACATTCTACCTTCTTGTAAATGTGTACCCTAAAAGGCTGAAGGTGATGGTTCAAACAGCTGGGTTCCTGTCACCCACACATGAGACCTATCTTGAGTTACTGGCTCCCTTGTCTGGTCTGGCCCTGCCCTGGTTGTTACACGAAGGAAGGAATAAACCTATACACATTGCACCGTAAGATAAAACAGAGGGCCGGCACTGTGGTATAGGAAGTTAAGCCTCCACCTGCACTGCAAGCATCCCATATGGATGCCAGTTCAAACTCCAGCTGCTACGCTTCTGATCTAGTTCCCTACTAATGTGTCTGGGAAAGCCGCAGAGGATGGCTCAAGTGCTTGGGCCCCTGCATCCACATGGGAGACCCAGAAGAAGATCCTGGCTCCTTGGCTTCCGCCTGGCCCAGCCCAGGTTGAAGTGGACATTTGGGGAGTGAACCAGCAGATGGAAGATGTCTCTCTCTCTCCTCTCTCTGTATTTCTGCCTTTTAGATACATAAATAAAAATCTTTTAAAAATAAAACATGTCTTTAAAAAATAAATAAAACAAGCTCAACTGGCTCAGTTACAGTGCTTTAAGATGCCTACATCCTACTTCAGAATCCCTGGATTTGCTATCCAGCTCCAGATCCTGACTCTGTTTTTCTACTACTGTGAACCATGGTGGGTATCACTGATGGCTCAAGAAATTGAGTTCTTGCCATGCAGGAGGAGGGAGACCTGGATTGATTTCTCATCTCCCAGCCCTGGCCATTGCAGACATCTGGTAAATGAACCAGCATACAGAAGGTTTGTCTGTATATTTATATGTCTCTGTCCCTCTGCCTCTCAAATTAATTAAGGCGGGGGGGGGGGGGAGGGGGTAGCACCGTGGTATAGCAGGTAAAGCTGCCACCTACAGTTCCTGCATCCCATATGGATGCTGGCTTGAGTCCCAGCTGCTCCACTTCTGATCCAGCTCTCTGCTATGGCCTGGGAAAGCAATAGAAGATGGCCCAAATCCTTGGGTTCCTGCACCTGTGTGGGAGACCCAGAGGAAGCTCCTGGCTCCTGGTTTTGGATCAGCCCAGCTCCTATCACTGCAGCCATTTGGGGAGTGAACCAGCAGATGGAAGACCTCTCTCCCTCTCTCTCTTTCTGCTTTTCCTTCTTTTTCTATGTAACTCTGACTTTCAAATAAATAATCTTTATTTAAAAAAAAAAAAAAAACCTATGTGGGTGCAGGGGCCCAAGCACTTGGACCACTCTCAGCTGCCTTTCCAGGAGCATTAGCAGGTAGCTGGACTGAAAGTAGAGCAGCCAGGAATTGAATAGGTGTCCATATAGGATGCTGGCACTGCATGCAGCACCTTTACCCACTACCATAGCATTGGCCCCCAGAATTTGGTTTTAAACAAGTATAAAATTCCAATTTCACAACCTAGTGAAACTGCTAGGAAAGTCATTATATATATTGCTCGAGTTCTAGGAAGAGATACAGCCTGGAGAAGAAAAACTGGGAGTTATCTGAGTCTAGAAAAAAGACCACCAGATCACCAAGACAATTAAGTATGGATAAAGACCTGGAGCATCAAAATTGTATGGATTGACAGAAGCCTGTATGGTTTCTGATGAGAAGTCAGCTGTGAATCTTTGGCACTCTCTGAAAGTACTTCCTAAACCAGAAAAAGCAACAGAGAAAGAGAACTATAGACCAATATCCCTGATGAACATAGATGCAAAAATCCTCAACAAAGTACTAGCTAATCAAATCCAACAACACCTCAGAACGGGATTTAACCCTGTTATGCAAGGATAGTTCAACAGTCACAAATCAATAAATGTGATACATCACATTAACAAACTGAAGAACAAACAGATGCAGAGAAGGCATTTGATCAAATGCAACATCCTTTCATGATGAAAAAACCTTCAGCAAACTGGGTATAGAAGGAACATTCCTCAACACAATCAAGGCAATTACAATAAACCCACAGCCAGGGTCTTACTGAATGGGAAAAAGTTGGAAGCAATTCCATTCACTAAGATCTGAACCAGACAAGGATGCCCACTCTCACCACTGCTATTCAATATCATCCTGGAAGTTTTAGTCAGACTCATTAGGTAAGAAAAAGAAATCAAAAGGATCCAAAATGGAAAGGAGTAAGTCAATTTATAGCTACTTAGAAATGACATGATTCTGCAGATAGGAGAACCAAAAGACTCTGCAAAGAGACTACTGGAACTCATAAAAGAGTTTGGTGGGGCCAGCGCTGTGGCATAGTGGATAAAGCCACCACCAGCAGTGCCAGCATCCTATATGGGCACTAGTTCAAGTCCTGGCTGCTCCACTTTTGATCCAGCTCTCTGCTATGGCCAGGGAAAGCAGTAGATGGCCCAAGGACTTGGGCCCCTGCACCCGTGTGGGAGACCCAGAAGAAGCTCCTGGCCCTTGGCTTCAGATCGGCGTAGCTCTGGCCATTGTGGCCAATTGAGGAGGACCCAGCGGATGGAAGACCCCTCTCTCTCTGCCTCTTCTCTGCCTGTGTAAATCTTTCAAATAAATAAATAAATAAATCTTTAAAAAAAAAAGTTGGTAAAGTGCTAGGATTTAAAATACACCAAAATCTATAGCCTTTGTATATACAGACAATGCCATGGCTAAGAAAGAACTTCTAAGATCAATCCTATTCACAATAGCTACCAAAAAATTAAATGCCTTGGAATAAATTTAAGGAAGACAAAGATCTCTATGATGAAAAT